ATGGCAGTAAACCAGCTTCAAGACTATGTACATGGCCATTGCTAAAGGTAACGCATCAAGGGAATCAGGAGTCTCAATCTATAGGGTGTCCAGTGTCTGGTGGGGTCTGTCAGTCCATAAGGATACTGTGAGGAATGATGACAGGAGCAGCATAGCCTGAGAGGTCTGAGTGTCGCATTCACTAAGTATCATTGGGTATGTGAGGAACATAATGGCAAAGAAGTTGCACAAGAACAAAAAAGGCAAAAATAATGAACATAATAAAAAATGATACAAAATGTAAAAAAAAATAAAAGAAGATGCAACTAATTCTGGCAGAAGTAATAAAAAAAAGGTCTAAGATACAACTGCAAGAGGAAAGAACAACTCTATGTAAAGGATGTGGACAAGATAAACAAAAATAGATTGAAATTTACAAGAAAATATTACTGGAGACTGAATTAAATGCAAAATGAGCTGTTGTACTCTTGCTAATAAAGGAAATTAACCAATAAAATTGTAAATCAATATAAAAGTATAAAATAAAATCACTAAATTGTATGCAACGAGAGATAACTGGGAAATTTAAATATTTTCTAAGAATGCATAACAAAATTTAAAAATATAATACAAAGACAACATGAGGAAAAATAATAAAATGAAAAACAAGACTCAAACAATAATGAACTGAGAATAATAATGCATAAAAATATCAATAAAAGAAAGTAATTCACTGCAGAACAAGTTCAACAAAATAAGGCGCAGAAATAATCACTGCAGTAATAAAGTTACACTGGGAAAATGTAGGTTAAATAATAAAATAAAAATATGAAGAAAAACTGATTGAACACTTTAACTCTTAATTGTAAATTAGACAAAACATCGTCGTCGTAAGCTTCTGTCTTTTATGTGCGGGTTATTTGTGTATCGTTCCAGTCACGGTATTGTGCCTTTTTGTTATTTATTTTTAGACAAAACAATTTACCCAGAGTAAAGAAAACACTTTACGTTAAAAAAGAAATTGAAATTACACTAAGAGTGAATTTGTTCAAAGAAATATGAAAAATATGAATAAAAATAAAACAAGAAACAAAACTGGAAGTGTAACACTTACAAGTGGCGGGGCACACACAAAATTACAAGTGGCGGGGCACACAACACTTACAAGTGGCGGGCACACAACACTTACAAGTGGCGGGGCACACAACACTTACAAGTGGCGGGCACACAACACTTACAAGTGGCGGGGCACACAACACTTACAAGTGGCAGGGCACACAACACTTACAAGTGGCGGGGCACACAACACTTACAAGTGGCGGGGCACACAACACTTATAAGTGGCGGGGCACACAACACTTACAAGTGGCGGGGCACACAACACTTACAAGTGGCGGGGCACACAACACTTACAAGTGGCGGGGCACACAACACTTACAAGTGGCGGGGCACACAACACTTACAAGTGGGGGGGCACACAACACTTCAAGTGGCGGGGCACACAACACTTACAAGTGGCGGGGCACACAAACACTTACAAGTGGCTGGCACACAACACTTACAAGTGGCGGGGCACAACAACATATTCACTTAAATTCATTTGTTTAGTAATGCTTACAACAAAATCTTGCTGTGACTGATACGAACAAAAATTGCTGGCAAAAATAATGTACACAAGTCTCCGCAAAAGATCAAGGGAATGAGACACTGCTGGCATACGAAAAAAAAGGTACACATAGAAATAAATGGATAATTTGGTGTACGACAAATACTGGAGAATACAAAGCTGAAAGAACACAAGATAAATAAAAAAAATTGAATTATTTCACACGGAGTGACTGACTGGTACACTACACAATAATACTTACTAAAGACATAGAGTAGCATAAAAAAAAACAGATAAAAATTATAAAAATGAAACACAAGAGATGAGCGATAACACTGAAAAATATTGCAAAAATAATGAGTTAAAGAAACACTGAGTCTACACTGAAAACACAAGGCTTAGAGTACACAAGAAATTCACTGTAAATGTCTCACACACGCAAATGTCTTTAAATGCAGGAAAATGTCTCTAAACAGAAAATTATCACTGAAGTCTGGAGTAGAAGACAGGATGACTAGTGATGAGGGCAAGACGTCCTGTGCGGTGATGACGCCTCCTACACTCACACTGTCGTCGGAAGAAATGCGCTTTCTAGGAGAACTCACATAACTGGCTTTATCGTTGGCGCCAGCTACAATCTCTTGATCAATTATGTGAGCCAAAACAGTACTAGGACCCGGTACAAGAGTGGAAAACCCCACAGGTAGATGAGTGAGTAGTGGCGGGTGGTGGTTGGGGCAGCGGAACAAGCTGGCCCTGTGCGCTCTCACTGCCACGCACACCATGTACAAGGTGGCTTAACTAAATCACAATGCCACAGGGATGATGAAGACCACTCTTACCAGCATCCAAGCACAAGCGATATATAAAACAATACTTCAGAGGAACTTGTGTGGCTTACTTCTCTCTCTCAGCTGGGTTAGGAAGCTGGGCTGGCTGACTGGCTTAACCCACGAGAATGGCTGACTGGAAGACGTGTAACGATGCACACAGCATGAAGGAGCAGGTGGATGACAGGAGACAGGCTGGATGGTAGGCTGAGGCAGGCTGACTAGCGTTCACTTCCACTGTCTGGCTTATTGACTGGCTTAATTGCAAAATCCGGGTCAACCCCTCGGAGATTGAAGCAATTAGCACACGAACTAAGCCAGGAAGCTTGAAAAACGGCTGCAACAGGCTTGCAGGCTGGAGCGACACAGTGGAGGAGAGTGAGGGTAGCGGCTAGCTGGAGGTGGCACAGTTCACCTCTGACCTGCCGGCAACCCACAGTCTTCTAACGTCTGAAATACCCTTAAATCCACGCCCACACCGGTGCCACCATTTGTCATGTGGGTTTTCGATACGTGGATGGGTAAAAATACTCACGTAGGCTGGTAGTACGTATAATATATAACGGGAAGTATGGAAAGCGCCAACAGCCGACCTGTCTCTCTCTGCTGCCTAACTACCACTGACTCACAAGTGTCTACAGGGTGAGGGTGTTTGAAATCCTGCTATGGTCAGCAGCAATATGAATACAGTCAATGATTCACACAGACGGTTGGTAGTGAGTCATCTACTGGTACAATGGTTACTGGTAACTGGTTACTAGGAACTGGTACTACTACTGAGACACAAGGGTGTACACAACCTGTGTACACAAGGGTGTACACAACCTGTGTACACAAGGGTGTACACAACCTGTGCACACAAGGGTGTACACAACCTGTGTACACAAGGGTGTACACAACCTGTGTACACAAGGGTGTACACAACCTGTGTACACAAGGGTGTACACAACCTGTGTACACAAGGGTGTACACAACCTGTGTACACAACCTGTGTACACAAGGGTGTACACAACCTGTGTACACAAGGGTGTACACAACTTGTGTACACAAGGGTATACATAACCTGTGTACACAAGGGTGTACACAACCTGTGTACACAAGGGTGTACACAACCTGTGCACACAAGGGTGTACACAACCTGTGTACACAAGGGTGTACACAACCTGTGTACACAAGGGTGTACACAACCTGTGTACACAAGGGTGTACACAACCTGTGTACACACAAGCTTGAAGATTAAATCGCATTTGTTAATTCTGTTGAAATTTATTGTGCTTAAAATTTCAAAATTTTAAATCAATACGTTTCATTTGAATCGTTCGATTCTTAATTATTCTTGCTGATTGTTCCATTGGTTCTACTAATGACTCTGATAATTACTGTTTATTGACTAATTCTATAATCTCTGATTAAACATTTCAAGATTTACATGGACTCGTTACTTTGCCTGGAAAAACATCAAATTCGTAAGTATAAGAAAATTTCTCGTGCAATGGGCAGAACATTCGTTTTTTACATATATTTTATATTTTACTCTATGGAAAAAATAGACACAACTGCAGTTAAAATGCTATCCTTTATTCACCACGTTTCGCCCACACATAGTACTTGATCAAGTCACTTGATGTAGCCCATCTATACGATGATGTAGGTACTTTTTTACCATTTATTTCCATAATTTACTCTACCTTACATGACGAGGGTGTCATGATGTGGCAGATTGAGCTGTCAGCAGGTTAGTCACACAACCGCTTATCATATGTTGAAATTGTTGGTTGTTCGTGGTGTTATGCACCTGTGCACACACTACATGTCAGTGGATGAGCATAGAACCAATGATAGGGAATGTGGATGAACACAGAACTATCGACAGTGAGTGTGGATGAACATTGAACTATTGATAGTGAGTGTGGAAGAACATATAACTAATGATAAAGAATGTGGATAAACACAGAACTGTGCAAGAATGGTATATAATACCGACAAGATGAAATTAAGACACAGGTGCAACATCTGGGTATCTTTATTGTAGACGTTTCGCCATCCTGTGGCTTTATCAATACAAATTCTAGGACATAACTTGAAGATAGTAGAACTATGTACAGAAGATGAGGTAATCAGTCCCTCAACCTTGGAGTAGGTGCGAAGAGCACCGTAGTCGTAGAGATTCTGAAGCAGAAGGAAGGAGCCTGGCGCTTATATAGTAACGTCAGGTGCAGCAGAAGAGGGCATAGTCACTGGCAGGCGGGATTCCCCAGTGGAAGTAGGTCCTTCCCAAAGAGATGGGTAGTTGTAGTAATAGATGTCGTAGCCGTGAAGGTTATGTACATGTCCTCAGAATCAAGATTCCATGATGTTGCAGTGTCTGACAAGTTGTGCAAGAATGGTATATAATACCGACAGAACTACTGACAGTGAGTGTGAATCAACATAGAACTAGTGATAATGACTGTGGATAAACATAGAACTAGTGATAGCGAGTGTGGATGAACACTGAACTATTGATAGTGAATGTGGAAGAACATGGAACTAATGATAGGGTATGTGGATAAACACAGTACTAATGATAGTGTGGGTGAACACAGAACTAATGATGAGGTAAGTGAGGATGAACACACATCTAGAAACAGTCAAGTCAGTGTACCCTGACGCTCAGGAATTCTGTCGTTCGGGTATTTTGAGGGCGAGGAAATCAGGCGTTTAGGAAATTTGGTGTTCAGGTATTCAGATGATTAGGAATTTTTGGACCATCACTGGGTTTTTGTCATTCAGAAACTTTAACGTTCAAGTATTCGTGCAAATCTGAAATTCACTGACTAGACCGTCGCCCTGACTTATGTGATGTAAATGGTTTAGAAAACCGACAAGTTGAAGAATGGGACACTTGTGAAACATTTGGGAATCTTTACTGAGGAAACGTTTCGCCAGCTAGTGACTTCTTCAGTCCAATCAGTCTCTCAGTCTGAGGCTGATGGACTGATTACAGCAATCTCCTCATCTCCCACCGTTTTTCTCTGTATTGGACTGAAGAAGCCACTGACTGGCGAAACATTTCCTCAGTATAAATTCCCAAATGTTGCCTATGTGTCTCATTCTTCAATCCTAACTTATTTATTCTTAGGTTTTTATACTTGCGCTGCCTTATATACCTAAGTTCCTATTCTTGGTCTTCCTCGTCTGGTGTGCAGAATTAGTGTCAAGGTGAGTAGAGAATCGACCCCCCTAATAATTAACTGCAGCCTAATTGGCAATAATTGAGCAGGTGAAGATAATTGGCTTTTAAATCAGCGTTTCTTTCTCTATCAAGATTCCCCCTCCCCCCCAAAGAAAAGAAACATATTTCATATTTAAAAAAGAATATAAGAGCATAATAATTACTAATGATTCTGACACCTTGATTGTTTACCCAACTAATTACACGTAATTGTATCAATGGCGTCATAAAAACTGATAATTGAGCCCTGTGATAGGGCAGATCATTTGTGATTTAATCTCATCAGCGATAAAAAAAACCGCTGGAAATTTTTCACACTGAAATTAAACTACGAAATTCGTTTATGTAATTAAGAATAATTATTTTTAACAAATGATCTTGAGGCGGATAACGGCAGTGATGATTCAGTGTCTGTACCGTTGATGACACAGCACTGGGGGACCCATCAGGATTTAGCGCTGTCCGGGAAGAACAACAAGGACTCAACTACTACTACTACTGTTACTACTATTAAGAACATATGAACATAAGAAAGAAAGAACACTGCAACAGGCCTACTGGCCTATGCGAGACAGATCCAGTTCTCCCACCGGCTTAAGCTCACTGACCTAGTGACCTTAAGCTCACTGACCGCCTGACCTCACTGACCTAGTGAGGTCACGGCATCCGACCTAGTAGCACAAGCTAGTTAGGTCCATCTCACACCCACACAACGTCTTAACTTTAATGACGGTACACGGGAGTTTGTTCCACTCATCCACACTTTGTACTACCAAACCGTTCTTTCTATACCTCCTATCTGAATTTTTCCAGTTTAAAACATGTGCGAGTCCTGTCTATGTTAAATTTTTTGCACGCTATTTACATTGCCTTATAATTCTAGATTTCCTTATACACGTCAAACAGTATATACCTAATTCAAAGGACTTACTAGAGTTGCAATTCAGGGCCCATTATCCTCATAGAAGATTTCTGAAATGGTCAACTTCTCACCTCCTTTGTACGTACAGTGCATTTATTCCAATTCTGTGTGTTGTTAGTAAACACATATGCAACGTAGTATCGTATTTCGAAACGTTTCGCCTACACATAGCTTCTTCAGTCGAGTAACAGAAAAGTTGATAGAACGCAGATAGCTTGAAGACGATGTCAGTCCTCCAATCCACCCTCTAAAGTTTGAGGTGTCGAGTCTCAGTCTGAGAAATACATTGTTCCAAAGTGTTGAAACAAGGATTGAAGTGACGGATGGACCTAAAACGCCAGAGATTAGAGACCTAGGTCACTAGTAGAACCAGATGTTGGGAGGTCAGGCCCTCACCACAAATCCAACGTTTCCACTATAGAGTAGTCGAATTGATACAGGTCTGTACAAAACCCTTGTGTATGCAGTAGTCTGACAGATTGTAATCGGTGACCAAACTGCACAGCGATAAATCTAAGTGAGACCTGACCAAGAATTAAGTTCTGTAGGAAGACACATAGGTCAACAGCTAGGCAACTATTCCGAACGTTTCGCCTACACGAGGCTTCTTCAGTCGAATACAGCCAAAGTGGCAGGAACATGAATGTGAACATCGTATCACATCCTCACCCTTGAAGTTCTAGAATTTGAGTTGTCATTCACTCGGCCTGAGAAGTTCAGTTCCAAGTCAGGAATAATCTGATAGTTGCCTGACTATGGACTGAACTACCAACCTGTCGGTATTGTATACCATTTTGATGTTCATATATAGAGTTGAAGAACAACCTGAGGACATCTATTATTTATACTTCTTACTATGTAGCCAAGGATTCTGTTAGCTTTATTGCGAATATTTATGCACTGTTGTCTTGGTTTCAGATTACTGCTAACCAGAACTCCTAAATCCTTTTCGCAATCCGTATTATTAAGATCTACATTATTTAGTTTATGTGTGGCCTGGTTACTTTCCTGTCCAACATTTAGTACTTTGCATTTGTCTATACTAAGCTGCATTTGCCACTTCTCCGAACACTGCATCAGTCTATTCAAATCATACTGGAGTGCTCCAATGTCCTCATTAGAATGAACTGGACGGTCTATTTTGGTGTCACCAGCCCATTTGCTTATGTCGTTATTTATTCCCTCATCTATGTCGTTTATGTAGATTGTTCACAGCAAGGGGCCCAGCACTGATCCCTGTGGAACACCGCTTGTGACGTGCCCCCATTCTGATTTCTCCCCATTTATGCAAACTCTCTGCTGTCTATTTGTCAACCATGCCTCTACCCAGGAAAAAATTTCTCATCCTATTCCGTGTGCCTTAAGTTTCCTCAATAGCCTCTGATGTGGAACTCTAGCGAAAGCCTTACTGAAGTCCATATACACAATATCATATTCAGTACCATGATCCACCTCCTCAAATACCTTAGTGAAGAAAGACAGTAAATTTGTAAGGCAGAAACACCCCTTTGTAAAACCGTGGGGAGATTCACTAATCAATTTATGCCTTTTAAGATGGCTACGAATTGCTTCGGCAATTATTGATTCCATAAATTTACCAACTATGGAAGTAAGGCTTATTTGTTTATAGTTCGAAATCAAGGACCTATCACCTGCCTTGTAAATGGGTATTACATTTGCCATTTTCCACTTGCCTGGCACTATGCCAGTTTGCAGTGATATACTGAAAAGATTAGCCAAAGGTATGCTAAGCTCCTCTTCACATTCCTTTAAAACCCTTGCAAACAGTTCATCAGGGCCTGGGGATTTGTTAGGTTTTAATTTCTCTATTTGTCTGAGGACCATGTCACTAGTTATCCTAATCGTGCATAGTTTATTATCGTCCTGTTCTACATAATTATTATTTCTGGAATTTTGCTACTATCTTCCTAAGAAAAAACTGAGAGATAGAATAGGTATTGAAAGTTCACACTTTCTTAATCACCGCAGTGATCTGACCCTGATACTCTTAAGTCGGCTATTTATATCGCCTAATCTCTGTATACTGAAAACCTTTTGGGTTAGTCTTCGAATCCCTCCGACTTTAGCCTCACATCCATTTGCTTTTACTTATTCCTTTTTTCTCTCTCTTAGTGAATAATGATTACTTAACTGACCATTCCCATGTTTTGCACCCGCCAATCATAGCCTCCGTTTGACCATTAGACTGCCCGCATCTATTTTATAATCTCATCATTTTTAATCTAATTTCTACTGGCAAAAGTGTCTGACTCTATGTTGACACTTAAGTGGCCTTTTTAACTCCACAACTCATTCATCATACACTGAAAAAACCTTTGTACTCGAATCCTTTTTGCATAGCCTCACAATGCCTTGTTTTCGTTTTCTTATTCCTATTTTTTTCTCTCCATTTAATTGAGAATCTGAACGACTTGATTCAGTTAACTGTATTCCATATATTGAACCACGTCATTTGATACGCTCTCCCACATCATACCTCAAGATTTTAACTGGATTCATTTTTGCAACCATCGCGAATTTTCCTCTATGTCGTCACAATTTTTTTAACTAAATTTCCCTAACTCGACAAGAAAGTCCTGGGCACTCAGACTTATGCAATTGTAATCATTTGTCTAAGGTTATTTTACACAACATTCATATCCAAACCCATATTCATCACAGCTAGAACTAGCTTAAACTACTATCAATTTGGCAAAATCACACCAATAGAATTTCACCAGTAGATCTGTCCAATTTAACTCCTGTCCATTCTATCTAATTTCTTTACACCATTTAAATATCTTGACAACGTATAACCTCCTGGACACATCAGTTGATTGCAGTATCTGTAATTCCATGATGTATTGAAACTAAGTGATTTGTATCGCTTTCCAAGAACTCATCACTAACCTCAAATTATTACTAGCGATTCATTGTTGGCAAGAACCAAGTCAAGCAGAATGTTTCCTCTAGTTGGTTCTGTCACAAACTGTTTTAAAAAGCAGTTCTGAACTGTATCAAGAAAGTCACTAGACTCAAGATTTCTTGTCACATTGTTCCAATCAGTTTGTCTAAGGTTAAAATCTCCCATTAACACAAACATTTTCATATCCAGACGCCTTATGAATTTCATCTCACAGCAGCCTACTGTACTCTCTATCAAGGTTTGGGGCCTATAAATCACACCCAAAATAAATTTTTCACGACCATCGAGAAACTGTAGCCAAACAGACTTCGTGTCCAATGTTTCTATTCTTATATCTTGTCTAACACAACAATTTAAATTATCTCTGACATACATCGTCACTCCACCACCCTTCCTGTTGACCCTATCAGTGTGGAATAGTTTATAACCCTGTATGTTGCGTTCAGAAGGCATTTCTCTATCTTTCAAGTTGAACCAGGTCTCTGTTATAGCAATAATATTTATATTACCTGCACTTGCAAGTAATCTTAGCTCAT